CTGTCGCCTGTAGTCGTGCCTTCCTTAATGCCTTCTTCTGACAATGACGATATTTCTTCATTTGACTTTCAACAAAGAATCATAAACAAAAATAGAACTAATAAGAAGGCTGGGGGCTTTCAATCAATGGGTCTAAGCCAAACCTCACTTAAAGGTGTTTTAAGGAAAGGGTATAAGATGCCAACGCCGATACAAAGAAAAGTAACCATAATGATAGTTTATTCAGGCTATTCCTTTAATACTTCTAGGAAAAGATGTCGTTGCAATGGCACGTACTGGGAGTGGAAAGACGGCAGCATTTATAATTCCTATGTTAGACAGACTCAAGTACCATTCCCCCGTAGGACCTCGTGCGCTGATCTTAAGCCCTACCAAAGAGCTTGCCATGCAAACCCTTAGTTTTATTAAGCAGGTGATTTGCGAAAATTATTAATGAATCCTCAGCTTGGCAAGTTTTCCTGTCTCACGGTGGCTGTCATCCTAGGAGGTGACAAGTAAGCTTGTGTTTTAATCAATTTGTCCGTAGAATTGAGGATCAATTTGATGCACTCCATAGAAACCCCGATATGTGAGATTCTTCTATTCTTGCGCTTACAATCTGTAGTATAGTAGCAACACCGGGACGATTACTCCATATTATCATGGAGATGAACATAAAGTTAAGCACAATACAGTATGTGGTTTTTGATGAGGGAGACAGGTAAATTATATAGCTACTAATTCTGATAGGCTCTTTGAAATGGGTTTTTCAGAGCAACTTGCTGAAACCCTACACCGTTTACCAAAGGCTCGTCAAACCCTAATATTCTCGGCCACGCTGCCTCGAGCTCTTGCTGAGTTTTCTAGGGCTGGATTAATCGATCCCGTTTTAATACGGCTTGATGTGGATTCCAAATTGAGTCCGTTAACTAAGGTTGTTTAATTTACTCTAATTCTGATAGATAGCACATATGATCTGTTCGGCCGATCACAAGTTCTCCATCTTGTTCCACCTCATTCAAAATGTGGTACCAGCAAAAGAGCAAATTATAGTTTTCTTTGCTACAAAACATCATGTTGAATACGCTGAAAACGTAGGTCCTTTCATTTACGTGGTTCCAAAATCCTGTATTACTATTTGTGAACCTCCAAATTTTAGTCGTTAATTCTATGCTAAAATGGAGTGTTTTGAATAAAAATTAAGCCTAATGCTTATCGTGCATGTTGCTATCGGTTATCCTCTAGCCTAGTGTCTTTTCAATGCACTTTCAGATCAGGGTTACTAGGCACAAGCACCACTTCTTTATACCAAGTTGCTAACTATTTTTTTTAATCA